AACTTTTGTGGACAAGGTGCGTGGTGAAAAGGTGGTAGTGAGGTTTGAGCAGTTCTCAGAATTTGGATCTATATCAAAAATATCTTGGTGCGAACATGTGATAAAAGGCAATTTTTTTGCTTACGATGCAATCTAATTTATTAGAATTCTGTTTTCTGATGTGGACGGAAGGCCCCAAACCCTAATGCTGTTAGTTTCGAAGGACCTACTGCTGATAGATAGCTTACTGAAGTGACCTCATACTAACAAAGCTGGATTCTCCCAAAGTCCAAGCCCCCCCTCTCTCAATTTATATCAAAGGAAAAATATGACTCATTTTAGATATTTGTCATTCAACATGCGTCTCTCTTTTCTTTTGGGTAATGTAAAGTAAGGTCAAATTAAAGTCATATATAAAATATATTATTTATAAAAGAATTGCTCCGGTCTCATATAAGAATATGTTAATTGAGAAAATTAGTTAGTATTATTTAATTACATTAATTTTATTTAAAAGATATGTTTTTATTAATTATCCTTCATTGAAACTTCATGTAAAAAGAAAAGCAAGTCATTAGAAAAAGAAAATCAATTAAATAAAAAATATTTTTAAAATAATAAATTAAATAAGGTCAAATTAATTAAAATTTACTGTGATTATTTTTTTTTCTTATATATTCGAAACCGAGAGAGTATGTTCACAATCTAACCTTTATTTCAAGTCAAAAATAATGATGAACAAGACTCAAGTTTTTCCTTGTCAATTTATCTCTTCCTGTTTTCTTTTTTTCATATCAAATCACTTACATATTTATGACATTTTCTCTTTTTATTTTTTTCTCTTTCTAGATACATGAACATTATTCACTATTAAAAAATTTCCTTTCATTGGAGAGGGAAATAAGAAACAAAGAAAAAGAAAATAATAGATGTGAAGTGAGATTTAATGAAAAAGAAAAGAGAAAAACATAAATTTGTAACTGAGTATACTAATTAGGTTATAAAAGGTGTGTGGAGAAAAATAAATATTCACTACTTATTCCATAAGTATTAAATATATACTTAATTTGTTTAATAAGTGTATATAATATAAATTTAACAAATCTGATTGTTGTATAATAAAATATATATTATATATCACGGTGATTAAATGTGTAGTCTTTGTGGATTAGTTAAAGAGGCATTTGAGCATCTCTTTTTTTGTTGCCCTCTAGTTGTCTCTTTATGGGAATGGTTTCAAGATATTATGTAAAAACGGTTGGATCTTGTCTCTCATATCAATATGTTGTGATCTTTAGCCGCTAGTTGAAGTATCTAGGTTCAAGATGTCCTTAATGCTACAATTGTACACATTTTTTTTTTGTTCTTAGGAAATAGCACGAAGTTCAATAATAAGTTGTATTTTTTTTAGTGGGTTGCGTGAATGATTATTTTTGCTACCTCTTTATCTAGCTCGTTCTCAAATGGTCATAATTCTCATTAATTCATGGGAAGATGTCAAAATATTGCCTCAGATCGACCACCTAAGCCCTCCATTGTTAAACAAGTTGATTGGTATTCACCTACTTGAAGATTTATTAAATGTAATAAAGATGGTGGTTCTCTGGACTCTCCAGGACATGCTACTTGTGGTGGTATCTTTCAAGATAGCTTGGGCACATTTTAAAGCGATTTTGCATCTTATATTGACATTCATTTTGCTCTTTATGTTGAGCTAGTTGCGATCATCACTCATAATTGTGGTGGAGCTTGCCTATGGAGTAGAATAGGTCTTTGGGTGGAATGTGATTCTATGTTGGTTTTGGTTATTTTTGATAATCCATCCTTGGTGCCTTGGAGCATTCTTAGGCGGTGACCTAATTGTCTTTCCTTATATATGTGCTTGAATGAGGTTTTTTATATCACATTTGCAGAGGAAGAGAATTAATGTGCAGATAAATTTACTAATTATGTATTAATTAATTGTTCAAAATTTGTTTGGTGAAGTGTTTAACTAGCTTTGTTAGGGATTATTTTTTTCTTAATGGATTGTCCAATTTTAGACTTTTTTATATTCTTGCATGAGTTTTGTCTAGTTCCCTCATGCTTTGTACTTGTATTTTTATTTTTTTATTTCTTTTAATTTCACTCTTGGTGCTTGGAAAATGATTGGCTTAGGAGTGCCAACTTAATTGAGATATCTTTGTCCTAGAATGATGCGTATTGCACCTTGGCCTTTTTATTTCAATAAAAAAATATCTAATAAATTTAAATTTGGATTAAAAAATCCTTATTTAATATAACATTTCATCCATTATCTTGTTTGTGTAAAAAAGATGAACATTTATGGAAAATATTTCTATGAAATAGGAGTACAATTATGAAAAAAAAATTAGACTGTGAAATTCTAAAATATTATTTGTTTTGGGAAAAAAAATTAAAAATAGGAAAAGGAGTGAGTAGTTAATTTTTATTTATGTTAAAAAAATATACATACATTAATTAAATTGAAGTTAATACATAAAGCATCAATTAGTTTTTAAATTTATGAACTTATTATATACTCAATGAAACAATTTATATATTAACAAATTTTAGAAGTATATAAATTATTAAGAAAAGGAAGTTTGACAATATTTATTTATCAAATAATTGAATTATTACAATATCATTATTAAAATAATAAAATTAACTCATTGATTTATAGATAACGTGGTAAAGACTGACTTTAACATAATCACAAGCATAAAAAAAAAATAGAAATGATGAAAACCAAATAATAAAGCACTATTAACTACACATAGCAAGAAAGCCAGACGTGTAATTTCTTAAAAACATAGAATGGATTGTATGGCGTCGAAATACTTCAAGTATGAGCTCAGTAGAGCTATAATATATGGCAATGGTCTGACTCACATGCACAATGAATAGCTTTTTTAAAAACGTGAAATGAAATTTCTGGTAATACAGCATTATATGCATTTTCTTATCCGGCAGAGAAGGTGCCTATGCCTCTACATATTTCGAAAAATGACAAAATAGGACTAGTAAAGAAGAAAGTTTTGGGCAACACTTGATTAACACATATATCGCACGCTTTAAATAAGCTCTTTATATATTTGTACCACTATGGATATTTGTACACCTCACAATTTTATACAGCACACCAGCACTCATCATTTTTCTTTATATATCTTTTATCACATATTATATCTATATTTTTATTTTCTCACTTCTTCTCGTGAGTGTTCAATAAGTATCATATATGTATAATGTCGTCCAAAAATTACTTTTGTACTTTTACTCTTGCTGTACTAGCTAGTCGCAAATTCTAGAGGATTTATTCAATAAAAAAAAATATTATTCTAGAGGATTTTTATATATATACATATGTATCTGTACTCTTAGAGATATATATTTTTGTATTCTGTTCAGTTAAATATTTCACTTTATAACTCATTCATTCTATGTTTTTCCGCATTTTTTAAACTCAATTGATGAATTAAATTTTCTTAATTAAGTTTTTTAAAGGGAAAAGAATTACAAAATTATGTATAATCACATGTATCTTTTTCATGAATGATCCCCATTACTTGCCCAATTCAAGTGGCTTAATTAATTTTTCTTAAGGAATTGATTTAGGAGGGAATGGTTTAAACAACTCATGCTAAAACTTGAGTTCAAAGACTAAAAAATTTACCTGTTTCTAATTCTGGTATACTCTTTTATAATTTAATTAAATAAAAAGCAACAGATGGTTAAGTAATACTGTCTTTCCTAATTGTTAGATTTTTTTTTTCTTTTCGAAATTAATGCTATTTTATACAAATTAGTATTCATAACATTTTACAAACGGTAGTGTCTGAAAACTGTAATCCGACACAAATATCCTTATTTTTGTTATTTTTAACCTTTTATTTAATCAATAATATCAAGACATGTTGGTTCACAATATTTCATATTTGTACTGAAAATTTTTGTAACATTTAGCAATTCTGTTTTTTTTTTTTTTTTTTTTTTTT